CACGCTCCCATTCTCTCCCCTCCCCCACCTCACACAACACACACACACACACACATACACACGCACACAAACACACACACACACACACACACACACACACACACACACACACAATTTATTTATTTATTTTATCTTCCCTCTTCGTAACTGTCACTGGTGCCCCTTATCCCCCCCTCCGCCCCCTTTGTTATCACAACCTCGGTGATGGATGTCCTTTCGTTAGTCATTAGATGGTGAAGATTACTGTCAGACTTATTGTGCACAAAACTAATAAAAAACAAACAGCATTACATAACATGAGGGGCTAGACAAACACACAGACATCCAAAGGGACAACGTGTCTTTAAAACCCCACCTGGAATGGTCCTTTGTCACCATGTTTTTATGAACGTAAAAAAATCATGCATTAGAAATACTAAATCATGCTTATTTCAAAAATGAAAAATGTTAAAACAGGAAAGCGACTTAATACTTACTTTCGAGAAAGAACAGGGCTATCCAACCTTTTGAAAGTCAATAACAAATTCTGATAGTTCAAATTTCCCGAAAAACACTTTCCCAAATTTGTAAATCAACTTGAGGATATTATCATGCACCGACGTTAACATTAGTTTAACATTGTACATTAGCGACCAAAAGGTTGAGAAATGAGAAACCGCGGTATGGAATACCCGATGGTAATAATATACGGGGATGCAGAAGACCAAAACAACACTAATTCGGTTTCGTTTAAAAAGAGCAGAAGATACGGACTGTCTATCACAGTCCGAGAAAGTCCAAGCCTTGCCTCTCCACTAGAAGGCATGCTATTTACTCCTATCTAAATATCTAAAAGGTAAGAACGGTCCAGGGAAAGGTAGAGTAAGGGTGTATAATCAAAAGATTGTTATGGTCGTTTTGTTGCAAGCTTTTTAACCCTGCGATAATGGCGAGTAATAGTAATTGCCTTCAAATAGCGCACGTCCGAGCTCCATGCACTTTACAACAACTATTACCAAGCAGAGCCTAGAACACCCAGAGAAACATTCTCAGATACTGGGAAGCATACAGTGCAAGCAGCCGATTAAGCGCGAAAATACTAACAAACTGACCAGATCTTTTCCTATATGTTTGCTTCAAGCTTTAATGCTCGAAACTGCCGTTGCAAGTACTTTTGCTTTTAATCAGTACCATTTAAAATTCCTGAAAGAGCGACTCGGGCTTTTCTCTTTGATGCATACAAACAATCCTTCAGAAAAAGGCTCATGTGCTGAAGAGGGTCTTTGAAATACGCAAACAAGATGAGAACAATGCTTACGTTGACGCTTCGAAGAATGAATTCACTATTCGTGCTATTCGAATACCGGGTGAGAATGGGTTTTGTTGTATAATATTATACGTTCATAAGCAGCACTTCTTGTGCATTAATGTCACTATTCCCATCGCTATTCAACGATGACATCACATTACCATTCACAATGCTTTGAATTTCGAAAAGGGAAAGGGCAGCTATTTGCATCCACCTACAGTTAATTTCTTGTAAAGCCACCACTGCCTTTTGTTGAGATGAATGTTCCCTTCATACTGTGATATGTAGATATATTGCAGGTTTTTTTAACCTCTATCCTACGCCCAGGGGTCATTTTGTACCCCGGGGTTGTCAGTATTTTTCAAAAAGTCATTTTGATAGACTGCTATGCAAAGCGTACGGATCGGATTAACGAGTACATTTCCTCTTTGGAAATCTGTGGCCCATAGCTCCCCACGTCGTATGGATACGATAATAAAATACGACGCACAGATAGGGTTAAAGTAATAACGTCTGTGTTATCATCCCACCTTTAATCTTTCTCTTCTTTTCTTCTTCCTCCTCCTGACCGCCTCCCCCGCTCCCCCGCTCCCCCGCTCCCCCTCCCCCTCCTCCTTTTTTTTCTCCCCCTCGTTCTCCTGGTCTCCTCCTCCTCCTCGTTCTGATCTCCTCATTCTCATCCCCCTCATCATCCTCGTTGTTGTCTTCCTTCCTCTTAACCCTCCTCCTGCTTTTGAAAGGGCCATATCTTCCCTACTTGGAAATCGAGCTCGTGTGATCTGGGCCTAACCATTACATTTAAAACTAAAACACCGATTTTCTGCGCCTGCTCTAGCAGAATGTGTATGAGTATTTCGCCTTACATTTCCCTGACGTGGAAGGATAAATGACAATTGCAGTAGAAGATATTGGTAGAGGGTGAGAAAAAGCGAAGTTTTCTATGTTGAAGCCAAGCAGTATATTCCAGTCGTAGCCTCTACAATTAAAAAATGGCCTCTGGTGGGACATTTACCAGAAATACAGCAATACCAAAGGGGGGAAATATGAATTATTTCTTTCTACTCGTAATTGGTCGTTGTTTTTTCCTTCGTTATTTGATCATGCAACTAATGATATAGATTACTACGACTCGAAACATGCAAGCAAATTACGTTTATTGAGAAAGTAAATGACGTTTCAAAAGGAACACTTCTAGATCTAGATACCGTTTTCTAAAGTCACACTTTGGGGGAGGGGACGGGGTCTCTCAGTTTAAAAAAAAAATCAAGACTAGTATTTCTGATACCAATAAAGCACCAGAGACTGAATAAATGTTACAAAAATAAGAAAAGCTAAAAAAAAATAAAAAAATTAAAAATTAAAAATATCAGTTTACATGTTTACACAGGATCACATCATTGTTTCATGTTCATGAATTTAAAAATTCATTAAACATTTTTGATTGGTCTCAAAATACTTAAATATAGAACGACTTTTGATTTGGTTCTATAAAAAAAATCAGCACATTTGATTTGAACTTTTAAAACCAGAAAAAGTAACAAACAGAGCACGAAGTTTCGAAAAAATTAACGTAGCCTATATGTACACTTGAGTGTAAACCATAGACACGAATCGTAATGTCCTAGACTGGGCTTTGTCATGAACACCGTTTTTTGCTCCCTATAAAAACTCCGTTTCGCTGGTGCGCACCGTGAGCACGCAAACGAGGGGCAAGACACGTCTTGCTATAGTCGAGTGCACGCGCATTCTTTCTAGTTCCAGCCTTGCCCTTCATCTGGTTCGAAATACAATCAAATGGTGCGCTTTATGTTAAAATCAGAATTACGCTAGAGAGTGCAGTCTTGGATATTATACAACTCTATGGCATCAACTGAGCATGCACAATGCACGTTGACAAAAGTCCTTATGCTCTAAATACTGAAAGTATAAAAGATTCCTGGCTATCAGTTGGTTTACACCAATAGCTGCTTTTGCTTTAAGCCAACGAAAATTACAAAAGCTAGTAATTTTTAACAGAAAAGCTTAGATAATATACAAAAAGCAGTCTACCAACTACGAATTGGTAATAATAAAGCTGCTGTTGTTAGCAAAGACGAAGGTTGGGTCCTGCCTTTCAGATCTGATACAATAATGAATACCAAATACATTTTCAAATACATAATATGAAAGCACAAATGCAATTGAATAGCCCACAGCCGTATTACGAGTTACAACATGTAACAGAAACCCAAAAGATACCATGACCACACCTTTCTACTTGTACAAGGAAATATAATACATATAGTACAGTAATCCCAAAGGTTTCAGACTTTTCTAAAGGAATGGTGTAAAAAGAGGGGTGGTCTTTTAAAGATGTTACCTAAAAAGCAAGGATGACCTTAACAGAAAGGCGACCATTAAAGAGCAGCGTTCTTAAAAAATCGTTTTGGTTTTTTTAAAGAATATGCTCTTAAAGATTATCTTTAAAAAGAATGCTATTTAAATAAGATGATCTCGAAAAAAAAGCAGTGATCTTGTGAAAAAACCCACTGTGTATTGAAAGATGTCCTTTAAAGAATGATGCAAGTCAATAAGGGAATGTCTTAAATGGAAGAAAACACTGAAAGATTTGTTTCTTAAATAGGGATGGTCTTAATTTGATTCTGAACAACCTTATACGAGGGTAGTCTTGCAGTAAGGGATGTGAGGGAAGGCGGAAAGTATTAGGAGGAGAAGGATCCTTTAGCAAAGAGTAAAAGCAGTAATATGTGAGGCAGCGTGGTGGAATCAGGCTCTCGTAAAAATAATCAAAATGAAGAAACTTGTAATTTTCCGCAGGTTTGTGAATTTTTATCAAATTCAGAAAAAAGTTGATTAAAGGCACAAAAATGTAAATTTTTAAAGTAACCACGGACTCCTAAGCTAAGGAAATAACTAATCTTTGGCGGCCACTTTCTCACTAATTTTACCTCTGAAAACAGGTGACCCCACCTCCTTCATTTGCAAATATCTCGACTTGTATTCAAGGTAAATGGATATTTTTTCATCCAAATAAAGGCAAGTGAACAAGCTTTAAGATGATACCAATAACTCTAAACGCCCAGAAATTGTCGAGAGCCTGATTCCATCAAGATGTCTCATATATATTTCATCCAGAGTCTCCAGTCATACAACATAAGGAGGTAGAGCTGGGAAGGGATTTTTCTTTTTCCCTTTTTTTCTTTCTTTTTATTTTTTTGGACGAGAAAAGAGAAAGAAAGAAAGTGGGAGTGGGTGGGTTGGTGGATCGTTAGTAACTATCCTTAAACTAGAACGAAGATATTATTTTCTATGAAAAGTGTAGGACGGACAGACTATTTTTACAGTTGCAGAGTGGACAGGGACCTTTAAATTACACATACTGTGTGTCTACACTACGCCTAGAGACACACATTTTTAAAACAATGCAAGATTTAAATATCCCAATTTCTCAAAACGTTCCCATCTAAAGTTTGTGGAAACAACACTTTCAGGGAAATATGAGGGAATAAGGTGTTGTGGGCTTTTAAACTAGATAGCGTAACCTACACTTGTCGAGAATGTCTACTTTGACAAAGTCATACCATGCATAAATTTCACCTCTGCAGACCCACCTTCTTTCTTAACTTCCCCAATCTTATGTGCTGTCTCGATTATATAGCATGTTGAAGAAGCAAACACATTGGTGTGGTATGAGGATAATCAATATAATTATTGGGAAAGAAATCGCAGCTCTTTCTAGTTTCTATGAATTTACTTGTTTGCTTGTTGTAAAGACACCAACACTCCCCTCCGCCCCCTCCCCACTTCCGATCCGCCCCCACCCCCCCCCCCCGACACATACATAAATACACACAGACACAAACGCACACACAAATACACACACACGCACACACAAACAGACAGAGAGAGAAGAAAGAAAGAGAGAGAGAGAGAGAGAGAGAGAGAGAGAGAGAGAGAGAGAGAGAGAGGGGGGGGGGTGAAAAAGAGTGAGATGATGGGGTGTAAATAGGGGAGGATTGCGAGACAGAGGGGAAAATGAACTTAACATAAAACACCAACAATCCTCAAGCCAAAAGCAAACCAAAGAGAGTAAAGGAGAACAGGTAGGACATTAGGTGGAAATAGCTCTTGGGTTCCCCTTTAATCATTTATTTGAGTGTATTTCACGCAAAAATACTTTTTTACTGAAAGACCTTAACGCATTATGCTTATCGCATTGTGCGGCTTTAAAACTTTAGGTTTTATAAATCAAAGCCTCTCGAGAATTTATGTTACGATTTAACTTCAAATAAGACAACCCAAGAGATTTCCAACCTATCAAAATCTGAGCTGAAATCGTATTTACTCGTTATATTAATGCTGCCCTCAAAAACCTTTGTCTCTTTTAAGAGGAGAACCAATAATAATAATCATGTACGAGTACATTATCCAGGGGAATACTACTCCATTATACCAACAACATATATGTACATGTATGTCGATTGTCCCAATACCGTTGCTCCCAAACTTCTGAGCGCGACCCAAGAGAGACAAACATCGATTATCAGGATGACTAAAACAGGAGTAAAAAACAACAACAACAACTGAAATCAAAATATTGAACAAAAGATTATACAGAACAATTCTGTGTCCACCCTTAGGTGTTAAAGGTTAAATATTAAAGATGTTTGGGAAGGGTCGCGCTCAAAATATGCTTGGAAAGCACCAGTTTTTACTGTTTCTCACCAGCTACATTTCCGTGACGTAAAAAAGATTAGAAAATAGTGATAAAATTATGAAGTCATGGTAAATTAATTATTCATTGTCGTTCTCTTAAAGTTACATTACTTCCTACAGTCCTATATAAAGCCAGTCGAGACGAGGTCACATCGTGATTTTGAAAAACTTACAAACTGGTGTCCACTTTTGATTTAATTTTATAATGACAGAACAGTTTTCTGAATAGTGTTGCTCAAAATAGACTAGATGGTTTATTCAATGGGGGTAAACATCCAACTTCTTGTCCTTGCCTTCTTATCTGGCAAACTGAGCAGAAACCCCAGGAGAAAAGAGGAAAGATCCGAGTTGGTCCAAGGAAGGAAGGTATGAAATCATTGAGAAACACTTTGAGAGAAACATGCATTGGTTACCACAGCCACCGCCCCAGAGTGCTGAGATGGAGTCAGGCGACAGAGAGAGGTATGGGATGAGAGAAGAGAGGGAGATGGGGAGCATATTTTCTAAGGAAGGAAAGAAGGAAGGAAGGAAGGAAGGAAGAACATCACTGAGGAAATCTTTGAGAGAAGCATGCATTGATTATTATAGGAAAAACTCGTCCCAGAGTGCCGAGCCAGAGTCTGGTTATAGAGAGAGGGAGGGTGAAAAGAGAGATAGGTAAATGAGAAAGAGAGAGATTAATGGGAAAGAAAGATGTGGGGGCCCTTTATTGTGTGTGTGTGTGTGTGTGTGTGTGTGTG